GGGGCGATCTTGCATTGCTGGCTCAATGGAGAGACCCTGGTACACAAAGGGAGAAGCAGCTCATGCCCCCCCCTCCTCAGAGCCCGTGCTGCACCCCCCCGCACTCCCCTTTCTCATTCAAATCCATTTTATGCCTAAAGTTCAGGGGGGAAACTGACACACCGGCGTGTAAAGTAATCGTGTGTCTGTATGTGTGTGTGTCTGTATGTGTGTGTGTGTCTGTATGTGTGTGTGTGTCTGTGTGTGTGTGTGTGTCTGTATGTTTGTGTGTGTCTGTATGTGTGTGTGTGTGTGTGTCTGTATCTGTGTGTCTCTGTGTCTGTGCGTATATCTGTGTGTGTACATGTGTCTGTGTGAGTATGTATGTGTGCACGTGTGTGTATGTCTGTATTTTTGTCTGTGTAAGTATGCGTTGCGCATGTGTGTGTGATTGTGCGCATGTGTGTGTGATTGTGCGCGTGTGTGTGTACACTCAGGATCACTGTTCTGCACGGCAAGCCCCCCCCTCCTTTCATCACCGACCTGGTAAGGGACACCTCACACGCCCCCCTTACACACTCTGCAGGTCACGTCCCCCCCTCCCGTTCACCATGTTGCCGGCTGACTGCTGTGTCCCCTGACTGTCTCTGTTACGGCAACATCTGGAACCCTGCAGGTCACCCCCGACACACAGGAGTCTCCTTGACAACAACCGAGGTATAAAAGTGTGGCTAGACGTAAATAAAGGAGCCCCAACAGGCCAGGGATTGAGGTGGCCGCCCGTGGGACCGCGAGTGCTTTGGGTGGGGTGATGGCTGGCAGCTGTGGGGGGGGGGCGGTGGCTGGTCTCTCCGGTTCAGCCATTTACCCTGTGTCTGTGTGTGTGACCCATGTGACATCTGCCTGCCTGTGAAGACAGGGCTGAGGGAGTGCCCATATGGGCCCCCTCCCCCACCCCCACCGCCTTCCCCGCAACTGCCACATTGCTGCACTCTCCCACTGCCCTCGTTGGCACTTTTGACCCCTCTCCCCCCCATTTGGGGCCGTGACGTTCATTCCTGCACAGAGTCTGCGAGGTGGGAGGGGCCAGTGTACCAGGCACAGCCCTGGAACTGGCCTCGGGGGTCGTGACATCAGACCCTGGGCTCGCCTGCTGGGAGAAGGGTGTGCGAGGAGGGACCCGCCGGTCTGGGTCAGCCCGCCTTTGTCCTGGCCTCCATGCTCTTGTTAAACCTTCTCAGGAGAATGGACCCCCCTGTCCGAGCCGGGTGGCCTCTTACATGGTCATGGCCAGTTTAACCGGAAGAGACTGGATCTGAACCCTGCACTAGCATGCAGTCAGTACAGTTTATTGCTAGTCATTATTTATTTTGATTTAGGAATACCAAGTGCCAGATTAAAAACAGAAAACAAAACTGTGGTGATAGATTTCTGGTGGTTTATTATTCTTATTGTTATTATTATTATTTTCACCTATTTCAAATTCCAAGTTTGCCCACTTCAGGTACTTAGTTTAAGTCCTTTAGCAGTGTGTTGACATGACTTGCAGACTTCTATGATTTGTGCAATCACAACATTAAAGGCACACACACACACACACAGGTTTGTAATTATATCTTTGTGGGGACTCTCCATTCACTTCTATGGGGAAAACTCTAATCCCAACATGACGACCTTAACCCCTATGCAGGCCTAACCTTAACCATAAGTAACCAAACAAAATACAAGACCTTTGGCATGTTTCGTTTTTTGATTGCGTTCACAGATCTTTGTGGGGACCTGAAAAATAGTCCCTACAACTTTAAAATAACAGGGTTTTTTTTTTACATTGTGTGGTCCCCACAATGTGATATAAACATAATCCACACACACATACAGCATCACACACACACCAGTTCTCTGTCTGAGGTGACAACTAGATTTTAACTTGCTGCTGCTATTCATCTTAGCGCCTTCACCCTGTCAGGAGGACAAACTGCAATTCATTGTAACGCATTTCATTTTATCACTGTACGCTTGGTGTAGTTTTAACAACGCACACAAAACAAGCGGCATCATGAAGAAAATCTGCTAGCGTGCCGATTACTTGCGAAGTCCCCCGAGACCGGGGAAGCATCCAGCAGTATGAATGGGTAAAATGATACGTCATTGTGGATAAGTGCTGGCCAGACAAAGTGGAAAAATAACAGCACTAGAA